TATTCGCTGCGTTCCCCCCCTGGTAAACATTACCATCGTTCTCCACTAATAAACAAACGTTGTTTTTATAAAAACAACAATAATGGAATTAAGCCTGACCATTTTGCAACAACAAAAGGGACATAATATAATTAAACCACACAATTTTTTATATTGAAGACCTTAGTGACACTTCCCAAACGAATACACCAATTTGTCGTATTTGGGATTCGTAAAACTTCGCCCACATATAATCAATTGACACACCACAACCTATGCTTGGCATCAGGTTTGATAACCGTTATACTGGATTTAAAAATAACGTCTAAACTATTTAAGGAGCAGGCGACTAAAAACCGACGATCCGTATTTGTGCGAATGAAAAATCTGATGAATTATGAATTTGATCTCCTTATAGAAACAGAAAACAGCATTGATAACCGTAGACTTCTCGAAGACTATGAAGAACCCAAAACAATGAGACACTGGCTCCTGGGTGACCATAAGATCGAAACTGTCGAAAATATATCGAAAGATATATTTTCATCAAAATTTTTAGGTAATTAAGCAGGAGGGTTATTGACTCACCGTTTCTGTTAGATTCAGTTGAAGGATATCTTGCTTACAAAAATCATTGGCTTGCCTTTTAATGGGAGTATTTCAAATTCGACCCATCCAAAATTTAATTGAGTTATATTGTAACGAAAATTAAAAATTCCTAATAAATTGTTTATTTGACTTATATTCTTTGACAACAAAAAAGTGAATTCTAACTCAAAAATGTCGTTGAAGATTTGAAATGAAATGATTACAAGAATTTTTCTTTGATATGCCTTAAAGTATGCTAAAAATTTGATACAACTAAATGGCAAATCATTTTGAGTACAAAGGCAATTGATGAACGTAATATTCTGTACAGTCCATACAATTTGGAAATGAGGCGCAGAGGCAATTAGGGTGAGAATACATGAATGTTTTTTTTGACTGACTTAAGTCACTGGCTGCCTGCTTCATAAAATAATGATGGAGCATAGGGTTAATAAGTATAAATTATTTGAATCAGCTTTATGTCAGATGAATATATACTATTGCAAACAGAGAGAGAGAGAGAGAGAGATCTAGAATTCTAAACTTTTAAATAAGAGTCTCCGATAGTGTGTAAATGAGATGTACCAAAGGGTTTTCAATCTATAAGAGTACTAAAAGTACTAAAAACTCTAAAGTTGGTACGATTTGGTATTATGTGAACGGATGGAGCTAAATTATTAATACTTTGGAGATTTAGGGTTTATATAAGAAGAGATTTTGGAAGTTTGTCCCATATATAATAACTGTACTAAATGGAACTAAATTTGATACAATTTGGGTTTGGGTGAACGAATTGAGCTGAAATTTTTTAAATGTTTGAGGTTTGAGGTGACTAACAGTGAACTAAACATAAACTTTTCAAAATTAAAGCTGCATAAAATTGAGATTTGAAGATAAATTTTTAAAAAAGTACTAAAAAGCTACGAAAAGTACCAAACGGTACTAAATTTTGTATAAGAGAAGGGATAGATTTGCTGATCCAAAAATTCGTATTGGGATAACATTTTGTGAGTTTGGGTTGAGATATGGAGGAGGTTTTTAAAACAGGAACTTTTTCTCAGGTTGAAACGGCGCCAGGAGGTTCGTTGAAGATATATGATCGGAAGCACTTCTGCCGACATTATGTAATTTCTTGAAATATCCAGCGCCATGTTATCAACTAAAACAACTGTCTCGGGAAACTAATTTCTATTATTTTATTAAAAAAAGGAAAACTTTAATTTTTTATACGTATTTCCCGCCAGTTAATAGCTGTACACCGCGTTATTTGCGCAACATTAGGCCATTTTCTGAAAAAACCGTCTGGGACTAGTTGATTTCCATGAGCTGTGGCATTACGTCCTAGGTAATGACCAGAGGTCATCAGCTTTGGCAGCACAGAGTGATTGCTTTAAATTTTGCTTTGTAAATGAGGTTGCCCCCACCCGAATAAGAGGAGCCAAACTTACCCATTTTGTCGAAAGGCCTGATAAATTACATGACGTTGCAACCCGCCATTTCATAATTACTCATTTTACGATCATGGTATCGGGACCTGTTGTTGATGATATATGTGTAGATAGTATGTATAAGTCTGAAGACGTATTTCGCGGAGATTTTAAATATCAACAATTAAATTAATGGCCACAGTCATTACCACATGGTCTGCGGAGATTTGAACACAGTTGTATGTTCAGGTCGTGGGATGTTAACATAATTCGCGCAAGCCAAAGCTATCTGCGATAAATTGAAAAACAGAAAGAAGGACCTTAAAGCGCTGAACAGAAGCGCTTAGGACGCGGAGACGCCAATGAAGATCTTATTAACCTCTTACAACGCGATATATGTGTCTGTGATTTACTATGCCAGTGAATTGTGGTTTTCAAAGATACTAGTGCTTCGCATTGGAAAACTATCCATACCAGCGAGAACGCGGCCATGAACTGCTACCGGACCATCTGCATGAAAAGGCGAAGACTCTTATGTCAGCATAATCTAATACTTTTGCTGTAAGACCTACTTGGGTGAAACAGTAGGGGTCATCCAAATAATCATATGGTGGCTAAGACTCGTCACCAAGGCGTGTCAGGAAGCACCTACAAGATCAAGATAAGGAGGTTTAATGCTGTATGAGAGATCCTGCAGATCCCATGCACCCACAGATGCCATTACCAGCTATAATATGAGTGTAGTTTTCGCAATCCACTCCCAATCGATTGCAGCTGAAGAACCACGGTTTCTAGGCAAATCAGGGTAGTTTTGGCTCAACTTTAATTGCCCTGCCAAACCTATCCCATTCACTCGTTAAGATCTTTGGCTACAGTATAGTAGTCGAATTTTTAAGCCTGGACTTAAAACCGGATTAGCAGAAAGGAAAACAATATGAATTGTTGTTACAAAAACAATAAAACAGAACTGGATATCCTTTCTACACCCTCCACCTTGACAAGCTTTTTTTGTAACATTCCTAAATATGTATTCGTTGTAGACCCCATTTACGATGTCCGTCAGTCTCTCTGTTGAAATCACGATGCATCTCACATTTTTTGACGTAGAGCTTCAAAAATTTGGCACACCAATTTGTATTGTGTCTAGGATGATTGGAATTGAGAATGAGAAAGATCGGTCCACGCCCTGCAACGGTACCTCCCGATATTCGGTATTTTTATGATATTCATCACATTTTTTCATTGATTTCTTTAAAAATTTGTATTTGTAGGTCATAATGGATCCACCTTTTTGTATATCCTCTACATTACGATAACCCCCAATATTCGGTATTTTGATGATTTTCACCACATGTTCCCACGGATCTGTCTAAAAATTGGTTTTTATAGCTCGTAATAGGTTCTAGCTCCTGTGGTTCGGAACATAGTATAGCCCCATTTAACGGTACGTCCCGATATTCGGTGTCTTGATGATTTTTGCCACATTTTTTGGGTTCAAGCTACGGTGGGGAAATGAGTATATATTCAGGGTGAAATAAAAAAACTGCAACCAATTTCAGACTGCTGTCATTTCTAAGACACTCGTCCGACAGCTGTTAAAATTATTCCAGTGACAGCTCATTATATTGCTTACAAGCGTACAAAAGCTTCTTGGTGAGAATTTTCCAGAAAAAAACTTATTCGTGATGGAATTCAAGCGTGATAGTGTGATTTCTTTATATTTGGCTGGGAAACCAAAAGTGGCTATCGTTAGAGCACTCCAGCATTTAAATGTGAATAAATCTTTTGTGTCTCGTACCATCGCTCATTACCGCGATACTGGCATAGCCCGACGTCAAGGAAGTGGACGGAAGAAAACAGCAACATCAGCAGAAATGGTTCGAAAAGTAAAGAGGCGACTTGATCGAAAACCGCATCGCAGTGGCCGAAAATGGCTCTTGAGCTGAACATATCGCAATATTCTATTCGGCAAATATTGAAAAATGAGCTCGATGTAAAACCATTGAAATTCCAAAAAATGCAAGACACAGAAAATAGACTCAAAAGAGCTAAAAAGTTGCTTCGCTTGGCCGAAAGTGGTGAACTGCCGAATCTGGTTTTCTCCGATGAGAAAACATTCGTTGTCCAGCTGTTTGTAAACAATCAAAATGATCGTGTTTACTTGCCATAGAGGTCAGCTAAAAATGTGCACCTTCGGTTGGCCACCAGAACTCAAGCGCTGGCCATGGTGATGACGTGGGCCGCCATAACAGCCGATGGTCGCTCTCCGCTCGTATTAATCAACCATGACAGCAGAATAAATGCCGAATATTATTGCGAAAATATTCTGGAGGGTGTATTAAAGCCTTGGACACGCAAACATTTTTGCCGGAGGCCTTGGACATTCCAACAGGACTCAGCACTATCGCACTCAGCACGCGGTTACAAAATGAGGTCGCTCCCTTCATTTCCAGCGCCCAATGGACACAAAATGTCCGGATACCAATCCACTGGACTATTGTGTCTGGAGTATTTTGGAAAGCAAGGTTGGCACTAAAAAATACCAAAGTGTCGATCACTTCAAGCAAGCGTTTCGCCGGGAATGGACCAAAATACCGCAGAGCAACATTCGGGCAGCGTGTGACGTTTTCATTGGCCGTTTGAAGGCCAAAATTCGTGCCAAAAGGTGACCAATTCTCACAAATCTAATAACGGTCTCACCCACTTAATGTATTTTTTTTTTTTTTTTTGAGAAGTTTAGCTTTATCTATATCTGGTATATGCAGTTTAAAGTGGAACACGTTTGAATTCCGATACTTTTAAGTAAAATATTCTTTTTACCCAATGGTGGAGGGTATTAAAAGTTCAGCCCTGCTGAATTTATTTTTTTTACTTGTTTGAAATGAAGCTACCATAAAATAATTGTACCATGGATTTATCGAGATTTTTCAATTTCATTCGCAACCCTAAATTTCCACTTCGTAGCTTTTACTCCTTCAACCCAATAAATTAAAGACAATTTCAAAATTCATTTTTCTTGAAATTCAAATAAAAATTTGAATAATTTTATTACAATTTTATCGAATGATTGATTGGTTATGTAAATAGTTTTACAATATATATATGTGTGTGTGTGCATATGAAAATTCTTTACAATTATGATTGTGTGGGTGTATGTGTATGGATGGTGAATACATGTAAATTTATTTTTGTGGACGTTTAACTAAAAATTAATTAATTCATAAATTTACACAGAATGACATAGTAAAGTTATTCGCATTTTTTTATTTTTTTTTTTTGATTTTGTTTTTTTTTTTAACATAAATATATAGTTTTAAAAGATTTTTTCTATAATTGCTTATGTGGTATACAACAAATGTAATAATTGTAAATTAAACTAAATTAAAAAAAAATTGACAAAAAATAAATGTTATGTTACAAAAAAAGAGGTTATTCATTTAAGAAGCAGAAAATAAGTGATTTTTCTTAGATGCAAATGGATTCTCCATTGTAAGATGTTCTTGATATTCCAAATAAAGAATCCATTTGCAAATATTAAAAAGATTTGTTTATTACAAGATTTTAATAATAATAATTTGACATAGACCTTTTATTGTGGGTTCGGTCCACCATTCCTGCTATCATTATTGAGATTTGGCTTTTTGCTTTAATTCTATGAGTATTATAGTACAGGGCAGAAGACAGTAGTGGGTTTCGAGTTTTAAGAGATTCTCATGTTAATATAACAAAACATAGCTCGAAATGTGTGAGACAGGGGGATCAGGGGGCGTGGGGACATTATCATATAATAATAGGCAGTTAAGGGGGGTATATTGAAATATAACATTTTGTAATGGAAATGGTGGCACCTAATGTGTGTCTATGTCAAGCTACAATTTTTTTAAGTTATTTAAATTTATTTAAAAACAAAAGAATTACATTTACATTAAAATACCTTTGCAATTGAACAACTAGTCTACAAATTATGGCAATTTTGTGTGTGTGTGCGTTTTTGCTTATTTTTATGTAATTTTCAAAAATTTTCATTTTAGCCAAATATTTTTTTTTTTAATTTTTTAATGATATTGTGGAAAAATTGTACTTTTTTCTTAATATGGCAGTTGTGTTTTTTTTTTTTGTTTTATTATCCATAAATAGAGATATTAACTATTTGGCTTAAGAAATATCTTAGAAACCAATCAAATTCATATTCTTGGTAGTGGGTTGTCAGGGAGTTTACAAAATAAAATACTTTTTTTGTTGGTTTTATTTAAAAAAAATATAACATGCTATAGTTATGATTATAAAGGGTGTTCCAAAATGTATGAAAAGAAAATGAAATACTAGAGAAATTACTGTTGGTACATTAGTGGTATATTCCAGCAAAAAGTTGCGATTTCCGTGCTTCCTAGGAATGCCTTATTACTGTCAGGAAAACATTACTCTATGGGACGCGAAAACTAGCATGGAAATTTTGGGAACTAGTGTTGGGTAATAGTTCAATTGAGAGATTCACAAAAATGGGCCAGTGAACTTGATCCTTCAAAGTCATTTTTTCAACTTATTTTTACAAATAAGCCAACTTTTAATCCATTTCAAAATGACCTGAACTCTTTGTATTTCCTACTTTTTTAAGATTTGAACAAGCAACCAGTCCACTGTTACTTATTTCGTGGAGGGGGAGGGAACAGCTTTATAATTCCTTTTTGAACAACTGGTACTTAAGAATATTGCTTGTTGCAAATTTTTCTTGGATTCAAACGTGTATCCTTCGGGAACTTGTATATAAGTTATAGTTGCTCATTATTCGGTAAGTATAAAAAAAGTTATTTTGCCTTGTAAATTTAAAGGTAATAATTCATTATTTTTTTGTCCCCGTGGCAATGCAGAAAATAGGTTATAATTATTTTCGGCGCCTGAAGATATGCTTTTCGTATTGCCTTGCAGTGCAAAACGCCCATTACGTACCTACTAAATTTTTTCCTCAGTTACACCATCTACTGTCTACTAATCAATATGGAGCTTCGCTGAAAAGAGTCATGACAACAACCATATAACTGGCTGACATCTGCTGTCAATTGCTGAATGTTTAGAAAGGTCTGAAATTAGAAAGGTGGTGTCAAATGCAGCCGTAATTGTCAAGAATATTCGGAGTGCAGTGCAAAACGTGTATTACGTACCTACTACATTTTTTTACTCAGTTACACCATCTACTGTCTACTAATCAATATGGAGCTTCGCTGAAAAGAGTCAGGACAACAACCATATAACTTACTGACATCTGCTGTCAATTGCTGAATGTTTAGAAAGGGCTAAAATTAGAAAGGTGGTGTCAAATGCAGCCGTAATTGTCAAGAATATTTGGAGTAGTTCAACGGTCACCAATCAGGAACGTCCATTATGTGCCTACCGCATTTTTGATGAGTTACGCCATTCACTATCTACTGATTGGTTCAGAGCTTTACTGAACCGAGTCAAAGTACTAAAAGCAGGGACAATTTATGGTGACTTGAACGACATCTGTATTCTATGTCTGAGCTATAAGAGTGTAGTAATTTCCTGGCAATGCAAATGCGTTCAAGATATTGCGACGTTCTTGGGATGGCTGTAAATTTGGAGCACAATAATTTGTTTTTAGCTGCCAATTTTTTAAGTGCAAATTTCTGATGAAATATGAAAATAACTGCTTTTGCCTTGGGGCAAAAATTAAGGTAAGCTAGACCTCATCTTAAAATCGTCCTCTATGGAAAAATTATCACCCATATTAACAGAATTTCCTATTCTTTTTCGCAAAACATCACTAACATCATTTGGCTACATTTCATTTTTATTCATAGATTCTGGAACACCCTGTAATTATTATTATTATTTTTTTTTTGGATTTTCGATTTTTTCTTTTTGAACACAGATATTATTGAATTGTTAGTTTTAAACAGATAATATTTGAAATATTATTATTATTTTTTTTAATTGTTATAGCTGTAATACTATAAACGTATGTGGGTTTTATTAAATATTAAGGCAAGGGAACGAGGGTTTAAAAAATAACACTACATAACCTCAAAAATTTCAAAGCCTTGCCAGCAGAAAAGCCAAAAAGCTTAACTGCCATTGTTATTTATTTATTTTTTTTTTTTTGAATTTTCAATTTTCATAAAAATAAACAACTATTTATATCGTTTTCTTTTTGCACCATACTTAAGATTATAAATTGGGATTTCTGTTTTTCGAATTAATTAAAAAAAAATTGTTAAGGTTAGATAAACTATTTAAAAATTAATAATATTACATATATAGTATTGTATATAAATATATAAAAGCTGATAAAATTCAACTTTAGTGTGGTATTAAAAAAAATACGAAATAAATATTATTTGTGCATAGGGACTATGTTGCCTCCATCTAACCTAACCTCAACCCGTGAGGGGGTCAGTGTTGGGAACAAAGACCATTTTTCTGACTCATTTCCTGGTTCTTTTCAATCCTTGTCTCCCAGAGACAAGGAGGCGGAAATCAAGAGTCCTTTTTTCTGTTGAGACTAAATTTTGTGAAATGTGAAAGTTTTAGGGTTTGGTTTTTTCTAAGGGTTTGGGTTGGGGGATGCAGGATTGTTTGGAGGAATTGTTGGTTTCTTAGGAGATGAGTAATGTGATGGCATTTTGTTTTGGGAGGGATAAGGATTGGGGAAGATTTTTTTCGTTCATTTTTTTATTTGTTTTAAATTTTTGTTTTTTGGTAAGGATTCATGGTAGTCTTGTCGCTGGTGGCCGACAGCAATTTTGTTTTGTTCTTTTTTGCCGCCAACCATTTTACAAATCATTTTGGGATTTGTTGTTGTTTCTCGGTATTTTTTGTTTGTTTTAAAATCCCCCAAAAAGTTCCCGTTTCTATTTCCAGGGTTTTTCTGTTTTGTTTCGTGTGTGTGGGTGTGTTTTTTGTTGTAAATTCGTAGTTAGTGTCTCTTTGAAAAATCCTCAAAACAAATCAATAGGAACTTTTTGTTTAGCAAGGAATAAATGCATAAAATACAAATTTCGATTTCATTCGTTTTGAACCTGGTGAGAGGCCCTCACCAGTTGCACAGCAAATCGAAAACAGTTGTGTGTTGTTTTGTTTTTAGCACCAAACAATTGCAGTTTTAAGAAACTGCCCACAAAAAAGAAAAGGGGGGCTGAGTTGTCCCATTCGCCAACTGCAGCATCACACATCCAGGAAGAGAGGCGAATCAGTGGAAATCTGGCAACCACCACAATAGCCGCCACACAGGGCCCGCCGGGAATGCATGGAATTCTGAAAAAAGAAGCGGAAAATGGGAGAAAAATTAATTCAGAAATTAAAATTTGTTTTCTTTAGAAGAAAATACAGTTATCTTGATCTGATATTATTTTTTCTTTAAAAAATGGAGTCCTAGGGGACTGCTGATAATTTTCTGGAGAATAAGTTAAAAGTATTAAATTCGACAGGGCCAAACTTTCAAAACCCTCAACCATTTGGTAAAACAACGTTATTTAATGAAAGTATCTGGATTTAAACTTGTTCCACTTAAAACTACAAATACCAGATCGTTTGGAGAATACCAATTAGTGGACCTAAATGGATTTTTTTGCAAGGAGAGAAGAGACCTTTCCAGAATCCCAATTTAAAAATTGTAAATAAGGAACATCGGGAGGTACCTTTGTAGGGGTCTATACCAATTAGTGGACCTGTAGCGAATATTTTTTGCAAAGAGAAAATAGACCTACCAAGAACCCTAAACGGAAAGTTTCAGCTGATTTTCTAGGATTTTGTGGCAGAAACCTTCAAAATAGCGAAAATCGGGAGGTACCGTTATGTGGGGGCTATACCATTTTGTAGACATGAATCAAACATTTTTTGCAAGGAGAGAACAGACCCACCAAAAACCCAAAGTGTAAAATTTCAGTCGATTTGGTTGGGAATTGTGGCAGAAACCTTCAATATACCGAAAATCTGGAGGCACCGTTATATGGGGGCTATACCAATTAGTGGACCTGAATCGAATATTTTTTGGAAGGAGAGAACAGACCCACCAAAAACCCAAAGTGTAAAATTTCAGTCGATTTGGTTGGGAATTGTGGCAGAAACCTTCAATATACCGAAAATCGGGAGGTACAGTTATATGGAGGCTATACCAATTAGTGGACCTGAATCGAATATTTTCTGCAAGGAGAGAACAGTCCCACCAAGAAACTCAAGTGTAAAGTTTCAGTCGATTTGGTTGGAAATTTGGCAGAACTCTTTAAAATACCGAAAATCGAGAGGTATAGTTATATGAGGGCTATACAAATTAGTGGACCTGAATCGAATATTTTCTGCAAGAAGAGAAAAGACCTACTGAGAATTTTAATTGTCAAGTTTTATCTAATTTGGTTGGAAATTATGGCAGAAACCTTCAATTCAAAATAAGGAAAATTAGGAGGTACAGTTATATGGGGGCTATACCTAAATCTGGACCAATATAGCCAATTTTCAATTTATGAATCTTGTCAGTTTTAAAGGGAATAACTATTTTTTTTTTTTTTTTTGTCAAAATGGTAATAGGTTAAAATTCAATAGCTTAAATTGTTTTCGGAGCCTGAAGGTATGCTCCTTTTATTGTCTTGCAGTGCAGAACGCCCATTACGTACCTACTACATTTTTGCTCAGTAACACCATCTACTATCTACTAATATTTGCGGAGTTTTACTGAAATTAGTCAGGACAACAGACATATGGCTAACTGGAATCTGCTTTCAATCAAACTATGAACGGCGAAAAATGCATTGCCAACAAAATTATGAAAAAAATTGGACCATAGGTGGTTATTTTTTGATCTTCGGGCGGAGATTTAAATAACATTAACGACATATATTTTCTGTGTGTGCACTATAAGAGGGAGTCATAGAAATCTCATTAATTTATAATTGAGTCAGACCCAAATGCAAAAAGTTCATTACACACGGCAGAAATTAGAAAGGAGGTTATAAGCTTAAATGGGAGCTATACCTAAACGTGGACAAATATATCCTATTTTCGGTTTATGTTTCTCGCAAATTTGAAAGGAAATAGTAGGAATAGGACAAAACATTTCCTAGTGGTAACAGGTTAAAATTCAATAGCTTAAACTTATTTTTGGCGCCTGAAGATATGCTCTTTTTATTGTCTTGCAGTGCAGAACGCCCATTATGAACCTACTACTAAGTAGTAGCTAAGTTACACCATCCACTATCTACTAATAGATACGGAGGTTTGCTGAAAAGATTCAAGGTACTAAAAGTACGGACAACAACAATATAACTAAGGAAATTGATGTCAATTAGTAGCAAAATCAAACCGAACTAAATTGGACAAAAGGATGCTTCTTTTCTCGTCTCCTGACAGAGATCTGAACTATGAGAGGGAATCATAGAAATTTCATTAATGAAAAATTGAGTCATATTCAAATCGGAAAATAGGAACTAGTTCACTACAAAGGAGAGAAATTAGAAAGAATGATCCAAACTCAATTGGGGGCAATACCTAAACGTGGACCAATATGGCCCATATTCAATACCAATCAGGCTACATATAAAATAAACTTCTGTGCCAAATTTCAAAGCTCTGGTTTAAAAAGGTGGACTCCATCATGATTTCAATGGACAGACTGACGAACAGACAAACATCGCCTTATAATGTTATTCTAATCAGGAATATATATACTTTTCGGGATTTCCGACCAATATTTCATGGTGTTACAAACCGAAAGACAAATTTAAAATACCCTCCATTATATGGCGGAGGTAATAAAAAGTACAATCCTGGGAGACTGCGGGAAAAATACAATCCTTTTGAACTGTGTAGAAGAAAGACAAACTTAAAATTCTCACTTACCGATGGTGATTCCTTTATGACCACATGACTACCCTGGGCAACCCAGGTAACACCGTGTCGTATCCGAAATCCTGTATGTGCCAAATTTATCGAATAATCACCCTGCGGACAAAGCTTCCGGCGATTGTAACAATCTCCCGCCGAACCGTAGGGCTGGGGATAGCCAATCGAATCGGCAAACGTAAAATCATCCACAATGACTTGCAACTTAAAGATGTCGATGCGTATCTTACGGAATGACGTACGACCCGATTGTAACGAAAGGTCCGCATATTCCCATTGTCTCGAATCGGGTGGACATAGATCAGGGTTGCGAGTTTTGCGATCATAGTAGATTGAATAGTTTTCGGTGGAATTGAGAGTTACATATTCTCGGGGTGATGCCGATGCCATGTCGTGGCAGTAGATGCGTTTCGGTTTCGATCTGACATAAATGGTGTACTCGCCATCCTCGTTGGTGTTGTGGAAACGCCGTAGATCGTAGCACGAGGATGGATAACAATAGCTGGGCGGTCGACACTTCTCTTTGATGATTTTCTCTTTTGTGGGACAGGTGATGCGTTGATGTAGCGACTTGTAGCAGAAGACGCGCTTACGTCGATAGCCTTCACAATTGCACTGCACAAAGAAATATGAAAATAATTAATTTTTGGAAATGGAAAACAATTTGCGGTTTTGGAAGATATTTACAGTATTGCCAGATTGCTAAGAGCTACAACTACAGAAAATATTCCAAAAATCTAATGCTCTGTTTCAGAACTACAAGAATGTAAAAAACTACTATGATAACCAATATTTCCTTTGCGATAACGAAAAATTTGCAAAATTAGTAGATTACCGTAGATTCTGGAACAGAGCAAAACTAAACTATGTATAGTAATATTTACAAGGAAAACAAGGAGTTCTAATCAGCTAATTTACAAAACAGCCTAAAGATCACTGGAAAAAAATAAGACATGCAATGAGATGCATTGGATGGCACGCCTCTTCAAATAGCCCCCCTGTCTATTCCTAAGCAATTTTTGTTGTTTCGAAATTTAATCTGGCAAAACTGAGGCAGGTAGGGATTGGCTCGGTGGCATCACTTATTTTTTTTCGTTTAGTTTAGGTAAAGAACCAAAATAAATTTGTATCTTACTTTTGACAATGTATTGTATTCCCGTGTAACACAGTTGTTACAGATCTTCTTTTCGGGCGGCTTCTTCGAAGCATCGCAGTAGACATGACTTATCGGATTGCCAACTATCGACTCACAATACACCGAGCGCGATTGATACTCTTCGCTGCAGTCTTCGGGACATTGTGACCAATTGGAAACGGACCATTTACAGCTAACCTTACAGGGTTTGTGGGTACGTTTGGGTTTGGGCACACGCAAGTGCCGACAATAGCTCGGATCGATAAATTCTCGGCGACGTGGCGTTCCCTTGATTTCCGGTTTATAGACGCGGGCACAATGCATTTCCTTTTGCCGTGTACCGGTGCCACATTGTACCGAACACTGTGTGTGTTTGTGTGTGTGGAGAGTTGTGATAATAGAATAGTGATGGGAACGATAATGTGAATGAATTGAATTGATATTGAAACAAAATACAAAATTGAGAAATGAATAAAAAAACAGGAAGAGGAAAAACAAAACATGGGGATGCAAAAAAATAGGATTAGTATTTCAATAGTTACAGTTACCGTGTGGTTTTTAGGTAATTTCTCTTTTTGCGAGAATTTTTACTCTTTTCGGGAGGTTACTTACCGCCGACCAATTCGAAACGTATTTGATGGCGCAACATTTTCTTCGGCTAATCGGTTTCTTGTCACTGCTGCATCCAATGCCCTGGGGATGACGACAGACCACAGTTCGGTTTTTCTCACATTTGTCATCGCATTCTCCCCAATCGGAAGTGGCCCAATTGTTGGGTACAATGTGTGGGGTTTTCTACAACAGAAGCAATTTTAGAAAAAAAAAAAACAATAATAATTATCATCATTAAAAACAGAGAGAGAGAGAAGGAGTGAGAGGTAATTTCGTATTATAAAAAAATTGTCTTAAAGAAAATATTTTCTTTGAGTTGAACCCAGGAATGGAATCTACTAATTTATTTCTACAGAAGAAAATCTAGATGGAGTGTGAACATTTTTATAAAGTGATAAATGATTAAATTGATTGAAAATCAAAAAAAAAAAAAAAAAAAAAAAGATACAGTTCGGAGGAAGAATACAATTTAAAGCAGTGCAGTTCTAAGGAAAGTTTAAAACAGTCCTTAGGAACTGTGAGGTTTTTCTTTTAAGAATATATTATATGTATATAGGGACTAAGGAACAGTAATCTTAAAAAAATATATTTTAAAAGTGTACAGTACCGAGATGATGTGGAAATCTTAAATCCAGTTCGTACAGTACCTAGGAATTGTGAAATATTTTTTTCAAAATACCTTAATCGGAGGAATGTACTTAGTTACTTTACTTTTTTCTGTAAAAATGCAGTCCTAAGGAACAGTAAATTATTTACAGTCAAAAAAATATCACTTTATACCCCCCACCAAACAATGGAGGGCATATATAAATTCCGTTTGCAACAAGTCAAAATATTCTTCGGAGACCCAAAAAAAGACAATTTAGCAATGTCCGTATGCCTGTCTGTTTGAAATCACGATAGAGTCCACATATTTTAATCTAGAGCTTTGAAATTTGGCGAAAAGGTTTATATTATATGCAGGCTGATTGGTATTGAAAAGTGGTTATATTGGCCCACGTTTAGATATAGCCCCCTTGGAACCACTTTTCTAATTTCTGCTCTTTGTAGTGAAATAGTTCCCTTTTTTCCATTTGGGTTTGGCTCCATTATCCATCTGCCACTATTATCCATTCTGCCACTATTTCCAATCAAATTTGCTGAAACTTGATAACTGGGGTTCTTCGTATATCTGTTTTCTTCTTGCGAAAAGGTTCGCTACAGGTCAGCAAATTGCTATACACCAAATAACGCCGATTTTTGATATTTTGAAGGTTTCTGCGACAATTTCCAATCATATCAGCTGAAACTTGACAATTGGGGTTCTGAAAAGGTCAGTTTTTTTCCTGTAAAACATGTTCGCTACAGGTCCACTAATTGATATAGCTCCCATATTTCGGTAATTTGAAGGTTTCTGCCCCAATTTCCAACGAAATTAGCTGAACCTTGGTAATTAAGGTTCTCGATAGGTCTAATCTATCTTTGCAAATAAGGTTCTATCCATTAATTGGAATAACCCCCAAATAGCAATATCTCCCGATTTCCAGTATTTTGAGGTTTCTGCCACAATTTCCAACCAAATTAGCTGAAACTTGACGTTTACGGCTCTGAAAGTCTCAATTGATGGTACATTTTTCTTTTCAAGTACAATACCCATAAACAGCTATGTTCGGCCGGACCAAACTTTTAATTCTCTCCACCATTACGAGCTTAAAATACGATATTTGAAGCAATTCCGGCGAATAATGTCGCCAAATCATCAAAATGACGAATATCGGATGGTATCGTTATATATGGGCTATACGATATCGTGGACCTATATATGCAATTCTCTATCAGGAGGTAAAGAAATGGGGAGGAACTCCTGTTGTGGATTTTCAGACAATTCTATTAAAAAATATGGCTAAAATCATAAAAAAACGAACATCGGAGGGTACCTTTACATGGGGGCTGTACGATATCTTGGAAAAATATAGTCATTCTTCGAACTTCATCTGCATGTCGACAAAAGACTGACCTTTGTAAAATTTTAGCTTCCTATCTCAATTTGTCAGACGGTCAGGGCTAAATTGTCTTCGATTTTTACGCTGATCAAAATATATGTACCTTCTTAGGTCTAAAATCATTATTTCGACGAGTTACAAACGGAATGATGAACTTATTGTATATTTATGAGGTGCCATGGTACAGTTCTAAGGTTGTGCCTATAAAAATACAGTCAGGTGTTAAAAGTCAAATACAGTCCTCAGGGATTGACAATTTTTTTTTCATTGAAAAAGCCTAACTATGGTTCTCAGTCCTGAGAATTTACGATATATTTTACAGATGTCGTTAATTGAAAGGCACTAGTTCCGCTGAATTCACTAAAAGGAGCATGTGAACTAATTCGCAAAAAATCGAGTGTAGTAAACTGAAAACATGCGAAATTCTTTTCACCGAAAAATACAACCCTAATGTATTGGATATTGAAAATGTTCACCCTTACCGGGGTCGTATAGGTCGGACATGGATCCATATTACACATAGCTGTGATTTCATGCAAATTCGCTTTAGTTTTTGCATTGCAATATTCGTCGTGAACAAACGAGTTATTGAAGTAACAAGCTACGCCGCGTGTCCGAACTCCATAACCACAGGAACGTGAGCACTGGAGAATAAAATATGAATTGCATTGAGAATCCACCCGGAAATCAGAAATGTCAAACAAGCTAAACTTACCGGCATCCAGTCGGTGTATTTCCAACAACCTTCCCGACACTCTTCATTGGTTTTAATGTCATAGATGGCGGCACAATATTTCAGATCAACAATATTCGAACGATCGAATTCCGTGAAGGTTTGTATGCAATGATAGGTTTTCTCGCGTGTACCCAATTGACCGCACTGGGCCGAACATTCCGAAATACCAGTAAGATTTAAACTAAGGGGGAAAAGTGATCATAAATATATTATTATGTAATTAAGTCGTTGAAAATATTGTGACATACGTCAAAACACAATCTGTATTACAGGCTCTGTATTCCGTTGGCGGCTTGGCTTCAATGTCACAGAGTTGCGGCGTCACCTGTACACCCTGCGCCGTACTAATGCACACCGGCGTCCGATGCATTCTGCCATGGCACAGGGAATCACAAATACTCCATTGTTGCATCTCCCAGCGATAGATTTCCACATCTTGTTCTACATAGTTGGATGATTTGTCCACGGTATAGGAATAGGTCAATAGCAGGGTATCATTGTCACGTTGATTATGTGAGGTTAGAGAAATAAGCTAAATCGGGATAATAGAAAAAAAACATTAATCGATGGAATTCAAGCATGAACTAAAAATATAACGGTATCAGAATGACGGAGAGCATTGCTTCGAACTTTGACGTTTTTTGGCCTTAAGGTGGGAATACATAAAACGCTTATTTGGCTGGCTTTTTCGTAGAGAAACAAAGGAGTTTTAGGTTGACTTAGTTCGATTTTGGCCCAGGGCTCCTTTGTTTATTTCCGAAGAAGCCAGCCAATGACTTAAACCATCCGAATAGGCACTTTATGTATTCCCACCTTTAATTTCCCTTACTTACCTCAACTCTTAAATCCCTCTTCAGTTTTTTGGTATAGGTTGTATTGACCCTCTCAATGGTACTGTTCGAACCATTGTATTCGTATGCAACTCCAGCATAATAGCTGATGTTGTGATAGGCCGTCAACAGCTGATCGCCGTTCATCAATGATCGTCCCTGGTCATCGCGCAACACAATGTAGTTTTCATCATGATTACCGGGTTGTTCAATGACAATATTGGAAGCACCTGAAAATATAAAATTTCAAAAATGAAAATTTAATGGGAACACCAGATTGAAAATAGGAAAACTAGTTGTTGAGACCTGCTCAAATTAGCTTAAGTTTAAAAAAAATTATGAAAAAATCATAACTCTTTATCATTGTTTCAATGGAAATAGTTCCAAACTGGTTCCGTCAAAATCAAGGAAGTGGACGGAGAATAACAGCAACATCAGCAGAAATGGTTCGAAAAGTAAAGAAGCGACCTGATCGAAATCCGCGTCGCAGTGGCCGAAAAATGTCTAATGAGCTGCACATATCGCAATATTCCATTCGGCAAATATTGAAAAATGAGCTCGGGATAAAGCCATTGAAATTCCAAAAAGTGCAAGATCTTACACCGCAAGAAAAAGAAAATAGACTCAAAGTAGCTAAAGAGTTGCTTCGCTTGACCGAAAATGGTGAACTGTCGAATTCGGTTGTCTCCGATGAGAAAACATTCGTTGTCCAGCAGTTTGTAAAAAAACAAAATGATCGTGTTTACTTGCCAAAGAGGTCAGCTGAAAATGGGCAACTTCGGTTGGTCACCATAACTTAAGCGCCGGCCATGGTGATGGTGTGGGCCGCCATAACAGCCGATGGTCGCTCTCCGCGATAAGATCCTGGAGGGTGTATTAAAGCCTTGGGCATACAAAAATTTTGGCCGCAGACAATGGACATTCCAACAGGACTCAGCTCCATCACACTCAGCACGCTCCACCCAAGAATGGTTACAAAATTATGTTCCTCGCTTCATTTCCAGCGCACAATGGCCACCAAAATCTCCGGATACCAATCTGTTGGACTATTGTGTCTGGAGTATTTTGGAACGCAAGGATGGCACTAAAAAATACTACGGTGTCGATCACCTCAAGCAAGCGCTTCGCCGGGAATGGGTCAAAATACCGCAGAGCAACATTCGGGCAGCGTGTGACGGTTTCATTGGCCGTTTGAAGGCCATAATTCGTGCCAAAGATGACCAATTCGAACAAATTTAAAATTTGATGATATTGCCGACATTTTTTGCTTTCATTCAATAAAATGTATATGGCGTTTGACTTTTTTGCATTTTCTTTATCTCACCCTGTATTATAATTATATTACAGTTATTACTATGAATATATGCTTCACTCTGATAACAAATTATGTGTTATAAAAATGCTTAACAAATATGTAGAAAAAGTTGATTTACATATGACTCTAACATTATGTGTACACTACCCCGTAATGGGTTTTTTTAATTGTACCTAGCTTTTCCAAGATTGATCATAATAAATAATAAGTGGAGTCCTCTTCAAATACTTTTGGAGTTTAAATCCAATTATGAAGCAAATGGACTATGTGCTTCCTGTCGGCTCAAAGGCTTATACAAAGAGGTCACAATGGTATTTTGTGGCTTCTGCTTATCTCAGTTTAATTCGAGAAATCAAAAATATCAATTTTGTAATATTTCTGCATATAGTTGCTCAAACACACATTGCCGTTGGGCGCCACTATGTGCTTCCTACAAACTCATATTGTTCTATTATTATTATTCAAAATATGAATTTAAATATTAATTTATTTTACGATTATAAGCACCTATATTGTCAAACGTTATCAGACGCAATATATCTACATATGTACAAACACATGTCTAATACAATGTTAACTATCAAGTACAAGTCATAAATTGGCAAAAACGAGCGGGCAATGTACTCCCCACACCTTAAAACAAATGTTTTTATGACAAAACAAAAAAAAAGCTGATGATTTCCCACTATTAAATTCTCTAGTCATATCACCATAATCGGCATCGTTATCAGCACAATTGTTTGCATGGCGCCTAAGTCGTTTGTTTTGATAGTCAGATTGTTTAGTTTTGCTGCATGTTCTTTAATAGGCGCCTTTTAATAGTTACTACACGTTTTGAGTACGGGAAGCCACAATCTGATAAGGATGATGCCAATCAGGCGATGTGTAATGCTGGACAATTTTGTTTAATTATTAGAATAGAGATTTCATGATTGTAAAGGGGAAAAACAAAAGCTGAGCCTGATGCTTTGTGAAAAGGTTGGGAGGTTAAATTTGAAAGTATACACTTGGAAAATAATTGTATGAAAACTGTTTTTTAATAAACTCATGTCAGTAATTAAGGGTTTTGGATTTTGTTAGGTATTTCTCCCAAAGACTCCTCTAATACTCTTTTCCCAAATTCCCCAATTTATAGTACGCCATCTTTATTTGACTTAAACATTTAGAGTGGTGTTAAACTCTGATGCAGGTTTGCCATATTGTTTTCTTTTTTGGTAACAGCCATTTCCAGCTATAACTTTTCCTACAACTGTGTTAACCAGCCTGACTCGATAAGCTGACAGTAGGTGTTTCGAAACAATTGGGAACTATAGTGCGATTCTCTAACTTATTTTTTGAGTTAGCGACTTTGAATCCCAAAATTGTGCTATAAAAAAGAAATTAAGATTGGCAACATTGGTATCTAACGGTAGGTCTTGGCGAGCCCTTTGATTTCGTCGTTAGCTTTCCGCTAAATTTCTTTAATTACCGAAATTATAAACAATTTAATTTTAACGACTTTTGTTGGTAACTAAAAAAAATGAGTTAGAGAATTTCACTGCTGAAAACCATTTCAAGAAATAATATTTAGTTTAGCTTTTCATGGAACCTTAAATTGAGTTGAATCGGAACTACGACAATTTACTGCTGTCCAATGAAAAATGCCTTAACTAATTATGTGATTTAATGTCGCTAGATGATGGTTTCCGCATCCACACCGTATTGAAGAGAAGTAGAATTGTAAAGGGGTTTCTGATGCCATTATACTTTGGTCTATGAATTTCCTTCCCAAACTGATGAGACTTTTTTACTTTCAATTAGCTAATTATGTGCTTTAACGACTGTAGATGGCGGTTTCCGCATCCATACGCAATGCTCTGGAATAGATTTTTGAGAGCATGTCTATCATACCTGATATTTTTTTCCGCGTATTTTCCGCCATTTTTCGGCGATATCGGAATAACATATTTCTCTAAAATTTCCAATGCATTTCTGTTATGTCGCCTGCCATCTATTATTTGATAGAAAAATTAAAACCCATATGCATTTTGTCCAGTCTTTATAGTTTTATGTCTTGACTGAAAGTGTGCCGTAAAGTCGGTAGATGGCGGTTTCTGTGCATTCATGCATCTAATATTGAAGAGAAGTAGAATTGTAAGGGGGTTTCTGAACATTGTACATAGAATTTCATTGGTAGATTTATGAGGCTTTTTACATTCAATTTAAAGGTCGTTTTATCAAGCAAATGATTTTGTGCAATCTCGTAAAAGACTATATGGACGATTTTAGACATTTTTCAAAAAATAAAAATCCAAAATCCAAATATTTTGTGGCTGTTATAAAAAAGTCGAACAAAAATGTCAAAGCTAAATGATTACGAATATGGCTTTGGAATTTTTCCGCACCCCTACTCTAGTTTGTTATAGTGGTGAAATAGTGCCTGAAGTTCTTTAGAGATTTTACACCCAATCGCCACTGACGCATTTTAAAGAGTTTTTAAAGCTTAAAGGTATCATTGATTGTGTGTGTTCCAGGATTATGCCTGATGAACAAGTCATATAAAACTGATAACGCCTCAATCTTGCACTCTCCTTAAACATAAATATTGAAGTATAGAGAGCAGACATGCTTGAAATGCCAACGAAATGTTGAACCACTTTTTGCTTGAGTAAATCTAATAATCTACGTAGTCGATCTTCAAAACTGTCATTTCAATTATTCAGTGTTTTGATTTTGACCCGAGCCTGAAAGTATGCAATTATTATGATATGATTATTTTAATAACGACATAATTGTAAGTTGTTATATTGATTTCGAAAGAATGCCATCTACTTTTGAAATCTTCACCAGTTTCCTCGTACTTTCTGGCATAGTTGCTCTCTTAGAGCGAATTGTACAATTCTCTCCTTAACTCGTTTTATCATTAACCAGCAAAGGGAGCTATAGCTATATCTGAACCGATTTTCACCAAATTTGAAATACTTTTTTTCTAGGATGGGTTCAGTCGGATTTGCCAAAATTCAGCCCATTTGGGCTGATATTAAACATTTGGTGCTCAATTAACCTGATATCGGATAAAGATATACATGGGAGCTGTATCCAAACCTGTTCCGATCTCGATTTAATTTGACAGAGGGATTTCTGAGCTGTATCTGATATCTGGTACCAAAGATTGTGTTGTGGAGTGCATATTACGCATGTGAGGGATATATATATAGCTATATCTGAACCGATTTTCACCAAATCTAATATACTTGCTTCTAGACTGGATTTGGTCGAATGTGCCAAATTCAGATCATTTGGACTGATATTTGCCATTTGAGGCACAATTAACCCGAAATCGGTTGAAGATATTTATGGTAGCTATATCTAAATTTAAAGATTCTCACCAATTTTAATAGGGTTAGTCCTTGGGCCAAACAAATAGCGTTTAGTAAATTTCATCTCAATCGGATAATAAATGCGGGCTGCATTTTTTTATAAAAATACATAGGCATATGGACGGACAGACTGGCATGCATAAATCGACTCAGAAAGTAATTCTATTAAAATCCTCAAAAGTTACTATGGTCTATCTCGTTTCCTTCTCCCAGTTACAAAAAAATGCACAAAGACATAATACCACTATGTGGTGTGGAGTATAAAAATTGTCGGAATGACGAACAGTTTCTTAGAATCGTTTTTAAAGTCCAAGCAATGTAGATTTAGTAGAAATAGAGATAACTTAATATTTTTCTGTTATATGACAATTATCTTATTCGAAACTACTTCGGAAACTTTGTTGAACAACTTGATTATAAAAGTGTAAAATACAAAGAAGTGTCGATCCCAGAAACCAGATTTTCGAATCATCTTTTAATTATTTTTTAATTGTCGAATTCTTAATTTAAAATTTTTTATTTGTCATTCCAATATTCTTCACCTTTGTTAATTGCTTATTAATGCTAATGCAAATGTGTGCCAAGTCTCAATACTGAACGTATTTTACCTTTGGGATGTTGAATCCGCATAAAATTAGTTACCGATGACAATCACGCATTTTGGTACACACCTCAAACGAAATAAAGTGTTAACAACAAACGGTTGTCGAACAGAATGTTTAATGGTGCTAATCTTCTGGTATTGAATATTTTTAACACTCGCATCATTTTTCCGAAGATGACTATGGGAATGAATGTAATTAAATATTAATTGTGATTTTTTTTATGGTTGTTGGCAAATTTTTATGTATAGTTGTTGGGGAGAATATTGAAAAGATGGCATGTCTTGCACATGAAAAAAATCAGATTAAAATGTTCGGGTTTTTTGCAGACGTGGGTGTACAATTCATGTTCTATGAAAATATAAAATGAAAACTTTTACAAAAGAAAGAACTGTCAAATAAAAAAAAGTTATAAAAAAAATATTTTTAATTTCAAATTTTCAAGGAATCATCAAATTAGTATCCTTTTCCTTGGTGTATTCAAGTAACTTTTACGGGCTCTAAAAATCTTTGCTTAATTTTTAAAGTGTAAAAATTGGAAAAAAAAATCCCTCTACTAAAAATAAACACCTCAGATCAAAGTTAATTAATAAATCTCGGCACGTCAATCACATCCCGCAGCTCATGTAAGCTATTAAATCATTTTCACTGACATTTAGTACTGTTCCAGCTCCTCCACCTCCACCTCCCCCATTCCTTGGGACACTATTTTTATAGTTCCATGGCGAGAAAAAAAAAAAACGTACAAATTGTAATGTAAACTATGTTTTTGTGCCGATTATTCCACATTACAACAACAATAACAACAATTTCATTTAAAATGCAGTTGATGTCTTATTTCCCGGCCGCGTTGACAGCATATCAATGATTGGCGATGACAGGTATGCGCGATGAAAAACATTGATTGACTCAAATCAAGTCATTAATCATTAATACGAGTTGTAATAAAAAAAAACAAATCGAATCAAAACAAACAAAACAATTAAGATGGCTTTTAAAAATAGATAGGTGCGTAATCGATAGGCACGGCGTGAAATGCAATAAAAATCAGGCAGGCACGCACGCACACACTTACGTCTCTAACACCACACAAACACTTCGCTTACACTTTTCTGGTGAATTTATGTGTGATCCCAGCCAACCAAATGTCGGACGTCCAACACGTGTGGTCAAAATCTGAAATTTTGTTCGAAGGGCCAAGCCAATTTGTAAATAATCAGAAATCCGCACGATATTACTTCCGAGTTTGGTCTGACAACTCTAACTTCCCTCCGAATTTCCCATGGTTCGACAACACATCAACCACTCCATATAACTTTTTATTCGAAGTTGGACCGAACTCAGACAGTTTGGTTCGCTGGGATGTTGCTCAACAAACAATTTTCCCCGAGGAATCTGTAATTCGATTTTTTGAGGATGCGTAATATTTTTCCAAAAATTTGGTGGTTGTCTAAAATGTCTCTAAAAATTAGAAGGATTTTCTAAAAGTTTTTTTTTTAGTATCTCTTCAGGTTTCCCAATGCTTTTTATCATCTGAAAAAAATTTTTTTCCAAAAATTTGGTGATTGTCAAAAAAATTCTCTAAAAATTGAAACGATATTTCAATTTTTTTTTTTTTTGAGTATCTCTTCAGGTTTTCCAATGTTACTTATCACCTGAAAAAAATCTGGAAAAATATTTCAAACATTTGCTGAGATCATTACTGTCACTTCATATACTTTGTCGGTTGGGGCATTACACCCCACCAGTCGTTGTCGTAAGTATTAAAATATTTCAAAATTTTCCTTCAATCTTTACTTTGCCATTATTAATATTATCTGAATTTCGTCGAAGTTTCGTATTTTTTCGATCTCCGTTGGAACAATTTTTCAAAATCGGTGTACTTTAACCCTTGTACCAGTTTTGCAGGAGAATTTTGCTGAGGTTCGCACAGAATTCGAAAAGAACTTGTATAAAAATGTTTACTGAGTAGTCATTAGAATCACCCACTATTTGGATGACTAATCTAATCACAACTCACCTGTGGGTATTGTCGTAACATGATAGAAATATGATTTGGTCTTTGGCACTTTCAATAAATCAGAGACATAAAAACGTCCGGTAATGTCTTGGCATGTGTCATTGCGTCCTTCACAGACACCGCATTTATCTGAAATATAGAAAAAAAAAAGAAAAATAAATAAATTATGAATATAAAGTGGTATGGTCATATGCATATAATGAAAATTAGTAATATATGCTATGATATGGGACAGATAGTGGCAAATTTGATTAAAAAAAATGTCGGTCGATCTTCATGTAAGGATAGCAAAACAACATTATTCGAGAAACCATTAAAAAAATAAGCTAATAAATCTATGATCCATTAGTACTTCAAACTATTATACCAAAAATTAAGAATGGCCTAATCATCACCCAAGATATAATCTTCACAATAAGACCGCTTTTTGAAGATTATATTTCGATGGATCATAAGGTCAATTCCTACCTTATTTATGGTCTTACGTCCATAAATAATAAAAAGTTACAAAATCTAGGAATTTTTCAACAGAGCCTTTATCTGAGACCGTAATCGTATAATATTGATTTTCTTTCTGAAAATTGTTTTAAAAAATCCAAATTTTTAAAGGTCCACAGTTCATGTTCCATAAAAGAAGTTCGAAAGTATCATTCGGTCTTACGGACAGACAGGCTATTGTCTCTTCATTTGAATATATTTTGACTTGTGTTTTGATTATTCAATCTATTGACCGTTTATGGGGTAGGTTCCGAGGAAGTGGGTCAATATTGCCCATTTCGTACCAGACCGAAGTCTGATATAAATATTACAACGTGCCATATTAAGACTATAGTCGATAAATTATGTATGTAATAGTTTTTCGACAAATTGGAAATGTGCGGGAGGTACCAGATATAATGGGCCACTTCAAATGTGCAAAAATATAAAGCAGTCCTCAAAAAAACTCGCTCGAATTATCACAAAGAGTGCCACTCTCTCGAATACGGGTAGGAGCGCTCCTGGGAGTAGAAAATAACAAGCAATGTTAATTTTACGATGTCGCTCGATTCCCCATTTTTGAGTGGGGGAGAAATTCGCCGAGCAATATATTACTTTTTGTAATACCGTTTTTGTGTTTCTATGTATACAGGGTGAGATAAAAAAAAATTGCAACAAAGTCAAACGCCATAATTTTTACATTTTTTTTTTGAATGAAAGCAAAAAATGTCGGAAATAGCATAAAATTTTTGAATAAGTTTAGATATGTTCGAATTGGTCACATTTGCCACGAATTTGGCCTTCAAACGGCCAATGAAACCGTCACACGCCGCCCGAATGTTGTTTTGCGGTATTTTGGTCCATTCCCGACGAAGCGCTTGCTTGAGGTGATCGACACTTTGGTATTGTTTAGTGCACACCTTGCTTTCAAAAATTCTCCAGACACAATAGACCAAAGGATTGGTATCCGGAGATTTTGGTGGCCATTGTGCGCTGGAAATGAAGCGAAGAACCTCATTTTGTGAGCATTCTTGGGTGGCGCGTGCAGAGTGCGATGGTGCTGAGTCCTGTTGGAATGTCCAATGTCTGCGGTCAAAATGTTTGCGTGCCCACGGCTTTAATATACCCTCCAGAATATTTTCGTGCTAATATTCGGCATTTATTCTAATGCCACGGTCGATTAATACCAGCTGAGAGCGACCATCGGCTGTTACGGCGGCCCACACCATCACCATGGCCGGCGCTTGAGTTCTGGTGGCCAACCGAAGGTGCACATTTTCAGCTGACCTCTTTGGCAAGTAAACACGTTCATTATACCCTACACCACTAGGTGGTCAGGGTATTATGTCTTTGTGCATTTGTTTGTAACAGGCAAAAGGAAACGAGATAGACCCATTGTTCCTTTTGATGATCTGCATAGAATCACATTCTGAGTCGATTTATGCATGTCCGTCCGTCCATCTGTCCGTCTGTCCATGTATTTTTGTAAACAAAGTACAGGTCGCATTTATTGCCCGATCCAGATGAAATTTTGCAAAGATCTTTGGTTTGGCCCAAGGACGAACCCTATTGAAATTGGAGATAATCGGTCAAAATTTAGATATAGCTCCCATATATATCTTCCTCCGATTTGCCTTTTATTGTGCACCAAACGTGTAATATCAGCCCGAATCTTATGGAATTTTGCACATACACCCAAATTAGGCCTGAAAATATGTATAACAAATTTGATAGAAATCGGTTCAGATATAGCTATAGCTCCCATATATATTGTTCATCCGATTTGTTATTTTTGTCCACCGCCGCCGTAATATGCACTAAGCAACAACAATATTTGGGGAAATATATCAAATACAGCTCAGAAATACATTTGCTAAATTTTATCGAGATCGGTTCAGATTTGGATATAGCTCCCATATATAACTTCGTCCGATTTACCTTTTATTGTGCACCAAACGTCTAATATTGGTCCAAATAGGATGGCACTTACGACCGAATTGAGTCTAGAAGCTAGTATGTCAAATTTGGTGAAGATCGGTTCAGATATAGCTATAGCTTCCATATATATTATTCATCCGATTTGTTATATTTGTTACCAACAACCGTAATATGCACTCCGTAACAAAGATATTCAGGGAAATATATCCAATACAGCTCAGAAATATCTTTGCCAAATTTTATCGAGATCGGTTCAGATTTGGATATAGCTCCCATATATATCTTTATCCGATTTCAAATTAATTGTGCACCAAATGGGCAATACAATTCCGAATTTAAAAGATACAAATGCTTCGGCATATTTAGCCGTTTGAACTTTAAACTATAATTATAATCATGATTGAATTCTCCCATAAAAACTTTTAATTGTTATGCGAAGCTCTACTAAATTAGCAAAGTGGTGTAGGGTATCATAAAGTCGGCCCCGCCCGACTTTAAGACTTTCTTTACTGGTTTTGTTTGATTACAAACTGCTGGACAATGAACGTTTTCTCATCGGAGAAAACCAAATTCGGCCAAGCGAAGCAACTCTTCAGATCTTTTGAGTCTGTTTTCTTTCTGTTGCGGTGTAAATTCTTGCACTTTTTTGAATTTCAATGGCTTTACCCCAAACTCATTTTTCAATATTTGCCGAATGGAGTATTGCGATATGTTCAGCTCACGAACCATTTTTCGGCCACAGCGAAGCTGGTTTCGATCAAGTCGCTTCTTTACTTTTCGAACCATTTCTGCTGATGTTGCTGCTTTCTTCCGTACACTTACTTGGCGTCGGGCTACGTTACCAGTATCACGGTAACGAGCGATGGTACGAGACACAAAAGATTTATTTACATTTAAATGTTGGAGTGCTCTAACGATATCCACTTGTGATTTTCCAGCCAAAAATAAAGAAATCACACTATCACGCTGGATTTCCATCACGAATAACCTTTTTTCTGGAAAATCCTCAACAAAATGCTTTTGTACGCTTGTATACAATATAATGAGCTGTCTCTGGAATAATTTTAACAGCTGTCGGACGAGTGGCCTAGAAATTACAGTAGGCAGTCTGAAGTTGGTTGCAGTTTTTTCATCTCACCCTGTAATATAGTTATTTGGACCTGATTGGAAACGTACTTCGAGAGTTATAGTGCACAAAAGCCAGACAGACGGACGGACGGACATAGCTAGATCAACTCCAAATGTCCTGAAACGGATTTGGTCCAAAGAGACCTAGGGCCTAAAACCATTATTTTGATGATGCACGTTTTGGCCTTATCAAATGATATTTACCCATTCGGCTGAGGGTATTCAAACACAAATGAGCGGCCTTTTCGAAAGATAATTTCAATAAATTAATCATTGATCTTACCGCAAAGTATCTCAATATCTACCACCTAATTTTCTGTATATCCAAACTTTTGACTCATTTTAAGAAAAATCTTTAGTTAAGGGATGCAATAAATAGTTATTCACAAAATGAAAATTTCAAAAACTTGTAAATTTTTATTTATTATTCAAAGGACTTTTCTAATAGACTACAAGATTCGCAGATCAAAGCTCTTTGCTGGTGTGGACCTTCTGCTGAGATTTAAAATTTTGAAAATCTGCAATTTTTGTTCTAACCTCTAAAAGCAATTGCAAATATATTCCTCCATGTTTTTCAAAAAGTTTCTGTTGCAACCCTCGTACTCACTACAATTATAGCCGAGGTAGTAAAATTTCCTGATAGAGATAACCAGAGTGTTGGTGCTGCTGCTGCGGCTGATGATGATGAGACATTTCGTTTAATTTTTTGTTATGATTGTGAGTGACATTGACATATACATATCCGTCATCGTTGTGTGCGCTCTAAATTTGCAACCACACCGGTCCCAGATGAGCACATGTACCAAGTTAGTGATCGGTTGGTTGATTCGTCATGAATCATTTCTTTTGGCTGCGGGTGATGTACCTCAGATGTCTGCCGTTTTTCCTCGGCAGATATATATTTGTGTTTATAGAAAGGCAATCTTGTTGGCATTTGAATATTGGATAGGATTTTTAATGCTCTAAATGCTAATTTTAGTTGCACTTTGAATAAATTGTTTTTATTTTTATTCTTTACTCACCCAATTTGGCTATGGAATTGAGTTCGTTGTCGCAGCCAGCCGGCCGGCAAACACCGTTAATGCATTTATCGAATGTATCGAACGAACATGTGGTGCCATCGATGACTTTCTCGGCCAAACGGAAATAGCCGGTATTGCGATTTTCACCACGGCAATATAAATTGCATTTATCATGGGAAGATACTGCAAAAAAGAGAAGGAGGAAAATAAATTCAAAATTAATAAGATATTCAAAATTAATGGTATAGTAATGGTAGAGTTGTGTCAATCTAGTACATAGTCCAGTACTCCAGTTTTGTAAAAGAATGAGTGATTTTATAAATTTCATATCACTCATACGCAGAGATTCCATTCCATCTAGTCCACGGAACTAGTTGGTTGATCAAACTGGATTGGCACCACTCTCAGTAATGGAAATAGGCTATTTTATGGTGTAACATTAACTTGTTTCAATTTTCTACTCACATCCATATTTCGGTATCCACTTGGTATCCGGAGCAATACCCTTAATGCCAATTCGTCGACCATTCATTTGATAACACTGCTGCTCGCGAGCATCCATCGTACCAGGTGGACAATTCTGTGTGTTACAAGACCTGTACTTTTTCCTTGCTCCCGTACAATACTTGCCACCATTTTTCGGGAAGGGATTATTACATTCCCGTTGACTTTCCTGTACACCACCACCACATGTCAAACTGCACGGGCTCCATGCACTCCAGGCACCCCAGCCACCGTGTATGGGTTGTGTCTGAAAATTATCACGCGGTACACACTCACCCTTCATACACCAGTAGCGGTTGTCATTGCACGGTGTACCATCGGCCCATGGCAAGAGACTGGAACGGCAGTTCGTGTGGCTGTAGTGCGACTTGCACCAGAGACGTTTGCAGTCGGCTTCCTGGGGACAAAATACCGATTCATTGCCATGTATCAATTGACATTGTTGATCGAGCGAATAGATTTGTCCCGGTTGCAGTGTATTGTAGTTGGGCACATATTTTGTGGGTGTGTCTTCAAGGCAGGATGTATCTTCTTTTCTGTAAGGATAAAAGATTTTCGATTAAAATGGGGAAATAGAGGGTTGGCATTTGAAATGTATGGGTTTGAAAACCCAATTTCTATTCTACTCATTTTGTCATCAAAGGCTTGAATCATGTTTTTAAGGTATAGTAATGCCGACAGATGGCAGGAAGGAAATTGTGTTACACATTATCATAAACACGTTGCATACTTTTTGGCTCATGGGAGTTGGAAAATACCTAATAAGAATAGATGATGAAAAATCAATTGCGTTTTTGGTGATCAAAACAGTCCACTTCGACAAAATAAAAAAAGTGAATTTAATGGTTGTTTTATATAGACTGTCAATATTAAAATTAACTTTATACAGGAGCAACCTATAGATGGCCACGTTATATGATCTATATAAAATGTTAGAGAAATATATCAAATATTAAAAAAAGACTTGTTGGAGAACAATCAGATCTCATTAAGGGAAAGTTGTAATAAATTTCAACAAAAAAAAAAAAAAAAAATAGAGAAAAATATCAGAACATCTAAGAAAATCCAATAAGGTGACACGTTTTTTGTTATCATATAAAATTTGTTATCATATAAATCGGCTTAAAATCCTTCCATGACAGCATGTGCCATCTGTGTTTGAAATAATGTAACAAAAATATAGAAAGCGCCACCTTCTTTTGAAAATTGCAACAATAACTCTACGGAAAAGACATAAAACTATAAAGATTGGACAAAATGCATATGGGCTTTAATTTTTCAACCAGCTAACAGATGGCAGGCGACATAACAGAAATGCATTGGAAATTTTAGAAAAATATGTTATTCCGATATCGCCGAAAAATGGCGAAAATACGCGGAAAAAAATATCAGGTATGATAGACATGCTCTGAAAAATCTATTCCAGAGCATTTCCTTGTACATTGAATCGATAAAATCAACAACAACCCTTAAAAAGCGTCAGCTCTGTTAAACTATAACATAATGCTATGTCACCATATCGTGACATAACATACTTTTCCACTACCAACGCCATCTATTGAAGAAAAGTAACAATGTAATGTCCCATCTTATTATATTATATGTCTTTGTCTACGGCTGTATTTAAACAGAAAATCGTGTACTAGCTATCGAGAATGGATAAATCCGCTTGAGGGCGACACTTAAAATAAAAGACGGGCAATGCCACCTATTTGCCAAATTTCTAAAAATAATTTAAGCAAAGGCCAAAACCATAGGCTTGTAAGTTTAATACTACAAAGACATATAATAGGATGGGACATTACATTGTTACTTTTCTGCAATAGATGGCATTGGTAGTGGAAAAATATGTTATGTCACGTTATCGTGACATAGCATTATGTTATAATTTAACAGAGCTGACACATTTTAAGGGTTATTGTTTATTTTTATCGATTCAATGTACAAGGAAATGCTCTGGAATAGATTTTTGAGAGCATGTGTATCATATCTGATATCTTTTTCCGCGTATTTCCGCCAATTTTCGGCGATATTGGAATAACATATTTTTCTAAAATTTCTGTTATGTCGCCTGCCATCTAATATCTTATAGAAAAATTAAAGCCGATATGCATTTTGTCCAGTCTTTATAGTTTTATGTCTTTGAAAACTATGACACTATTATATCGAAATTGATGTATCTAAAGGATTCTGTACTCAGGCACTCTCGTAATTTATGTAAGCGGAATTCAAATCATCTCCGGTCATTGCAGGAAGGATACCTGCTTCAAATTGTATTGCACGTAAAAGTTACATACTTTCAGGGATTACCAATGCATGGTATGACAAGTGCGACCCATATGTTAAACGTTTTTAAGGAATATTATATGATCAGGAAAGTCTACCAACTCAAATCTCTGTCATGACAGAAAGTGCCATCTACTTTACAAAAATTAAATATAGTATCCTATATCTGGTATAACTCCATTGTTGACGACACTAGTTTATCAAAATACGTAATAAATACAGGATCTGCCGACTGTGAATTTAAAATCTCGTCATGAAAAGCCATGCCACCTATATGCCATGTTTTTCAAAATAATTTAATCACAGAGGGCGTCACAACAGCATTGCGCATCCATCCAACCTATTACATTTTGGAAAACTATTTTTTAGGTCCCCATTGAAAGCTACGCGAAGTTTAACCTCACTAAAGGTGATACATTTACATTAAAAAGGTCAACGAAAGGGATTCTGCACTGAGGACCGAGAATTCATAAATTATTTGAAGGATGCCACTTAAAATCCCATCATGACAGGAAACACCACCTACTTGCCAAGTTTGTAAAATTAATTTACCACATTCCGCAGGCATCTGAAGAATTTGTAAAAAAGGAAGAGGCACTGTTCGTCATTACACGAAGTCCACCTGTTGGTCTCTATTTATAATATTAGCGCAGACACCTATCTTAGACTAACATAGTTTAAATTCAAATGAAGATGGCACTGTCGTATCTTTAGCACCTAAAATAATCTATTAAGTAGATTGTAAATGGGAATCCTGACTATTGGAAGAAAAAAGGAGAGCCGGTCTAAACAATTTCATGTAGTCTGTACAAACAAAAGCAAATGTTTCTTTTAACAAAGGAATATAATATGTAAAAATGGGGCAATTGATTTTCGTTTTGATTCCGTGTTTGCAGGAAGGCCACCTGTTGGTCACTTTTTGTAATTTGAGAGCAGACAACTATCTCAGACTAACATTGTTTTAATCCAAATATAGATACCACAATCATATATTTTGTTTCTGCGCCTAAAACAAAATATTAAGTAGATTGTAAATAGGAATCCGAAATATTTAAGAAAATTAAGTCAAATATTGATAATATATTTCTATGTAGTCTGCACAAATAAAATCGTAGGTTTCTTCAACTCGTTAAGTACTTATTGTGTAGAATAAATTTCATATGACATTGATGAAAGGATCGATGAGATATAATAACCTGATCTTGTCTCATATTCTTGATGTTTTGGAAATGTTACAAAAATATCCAGGGCTAGTGAAACGATGGAAATATATATCTATTTAGATTTTATTTCAATCCTTACTTGCGGTAAGTTTACTCATCATGATAGAGTCATGTGTATGTAACATTTCCTAATTTATATTTAGAATATTTGGAGTATACTTTTAGGCTTTACGTTCGCTTTTTGAGAGTGGCTATAAAAATCAAACTACCCAAAAAGTATTGTGTGAAAAAATATTTTAGAATTAATTTTTTAATAATTTATATAATTTAAGAGCCGCATGCAAAGTTTGCCTATTAAATTTTCATGATTAGAGTTTACAGTGGAATTTAGAAATAGCCCCACATGGCATGGGCTTCACATTATAGTTTAGATGTCCTTAGCATATATATAAAAGTTTAATTTTTTTCTAAACTTACTCAAAAAATTCCGAGACATAATGGCGCGAACAATCCGACCATGACCATGGATGAATATCACGTTCCATAACACTGGACATGATGTGGCGACGTCTCTTCACGCCCGGTCTATTGAATTGTTTGCAACGATAATCATCGTCATGTGGCATATTTAAACTAAAAGAGAGGAAGAAAGGGAAAAAGAATTAATTAAAAATAATGAAAACCCAAATGTCCCCCCAATTGCCAAACACTTACATGTGACCCAATTCATGGGCAATGGTAAAGGCGGCCGGTAAGCCATTGTCCTGTACAATGGAACAGGATTTGCGACGACAAACAGTGCCAAGTTCAGCCAGACCCAATGTATCACATTTGGTTTCTCGATCTTTGCGACAAATCTTATCTCTGCAAGGCAAACATAACAACAAGAAGAACAACAAAAATAAACATAATGCATAAAAATTCAACTGGTCACCCTGACACCGAAAGATAAACAACACACATGTCCGAGCCGACATGTCTGAATTGCATTCGCACACAACTCATATTTGTTTTGAAGGCTGTCTTAAGGTTGTAATAAACAAAATCATATTTTCATAAACCTCCCCACGTCTAGCCACACTTACCTTGTTATTAGCATCGCCGTATCATAGTGATAACCATTTGTGGCTACATGAGAACAAAACGCCTCCAAGACCGTTTGATTCGATGAACCGGATTTTCGTCGCCTCTTAAAATCGGGCAATACCAAAATATTGGCAACGGATATTTTAATGGGATTTCCAATGCTCGCATCGGCAAAAACATTCGACACAATCGATATCAGCGTCAGAATATACGGCGTCAGATCATCTTTGTGGAACTCTTTCATGGTCCGATCAACGGCCACCAACAGCTCGATCGTATACTGATTGCCTTCGTAGTTGCGTTTCTTACGCCGCAGCTTGGGCATATTCCCCTGCTTGTCGATTTCACCCAAATCGATGTCAAGAGCGGAGACAGTGTGTCTGGCATTGCGACGCGAATGTCGCCAGACTTTGTGTAAGATCTCAGAGGTGGCTGCAGAGGCGCTGGGGTTGTTCGAGTCGTTAAACGATTGATTGTTCACCGGTTGTATGAGCAAAGAACCGAAACTTGTTTTGATATAACCCGTCTGGAAGTCGAGAGAACAAGAATGACAGAACGAAAAATTATTAATCAGAGGCAATAATAAAGAATGAATATTTTTGTTTCGAAACTTCTTATGGCTGATAATTAGTGGCAAGACTACGATTTTTTCCATAAACAATAAAAAATATGATCATAAGTGCTAATATTTTTTTGAACGAATAGAAGTAGAAGTTTGGAAATTCAATATTTTTAATTGCATTTGAATATGGTTATAAAGAACAATAATTGTTATAAGCTACTGCCTTAAATTGTTTTTTTTGAGATTTCGGAGACTGATTTCTATTTCAGACACAAAAGTTCCAAGACCAGTATATTTTTGTGGAACTTTAGATTTTTAAGAAGTCCTTTAGATCTTTTGGTTTTTCCAAGTTTTTCCAAGTGTAGAAGTCCTTTTAAAGTCCTTTGAGCGATAGAAAACCCTGATTGATCAAATTTTAGAATTTTTTATCTATACCTTCATCTAATACCAAATATCAATACAAAATTTCAAAATTCCTGCTTTATCCTTTCACCATAAACCAAACTTTTCCAAATTTAGTGCAGTTCGCACAAACTTACTTTCCGAACTTGATTCTCACACAAAATTTCAATTTTGTTCACATAAAACCGAATGGTACAATTTTAGAAGTTTAGTACTATTTTAGAACCTTTCGTAACCTAAAAGTTCGAATTTCCAAAAACTCTTCAGTACATCTATCTTACACTACGGCGGCGACCCTCATTCCATATTTCACAATTATATATAGATTTAAAAGGTTTGTAGGGTTTATAGGTATAGAAGACCCGTGAAAAAGCCACTGGGCTCTTTTAGATACGAAAGAACTACTAAACTCCTTATGGGTACAGAATAAAAAGATTTATGGTACAGAAGACCTGAAAAAAATGACATTTAGGTGTAGAAAAGCTTTGAAAGGCGCAGAGTGCCCGTTAAAAGGATTTTAGGAATAGAAGAACTGTACAAGAAATTTATGGCACGGAAGAGTTACAAAAGGACTTTTTGGTGTAGGATGTACAAGAATGTCAAGAAGACCTGAAAATAGATTTCTATGCTAAGAGAGAATTGTGAAAGGTTTTCTGAGTACAGAAGAAAAGGTCTTCTAGGTACAGAACACCTGTATAAGGATTTCAGGGTACTGCATAAAACACCACATGTGATTCTGTGCGCTGACGCATACGATATAGTGTGAGATAATAAAGGTTATGACCCACACGCACAGATATCGATGAGCTCAGCAGATGTACAACACTACTTGAATAAAATTTCAAGCACCCCTGCAATTTTCTCCATTCAATATTGAAATAGATAAGAATAATTGTGTGGCTGCGATTAGGTTAAGTTAGATTAGTTTCAGTAGTACTTAAGAAACACATTTTTAAATAAAATCAGAATTGAATCAACATCCAAACCATTCTGTGGTGTTTTTTTTCTCACTTTACATTGCTCCAGTCGAGCCAAAAACGGAATAGAGTTGGCAATCGAAGAGGGGGATTAGACTCTATTCTCAATTACATAGATCATTCAAGCCGGATCGAGAATTGAATTTACACCCAAGCGAAGCCGTTGTATTATTTTCTCATCTCCGAATAGAGTTGACAATTGAAGAGGGAGATTGGTCTCTTTTCTCAGAGAGGATCTGCTTTATTTAAGTTAAAGAGATGTACGAGATTGAAGATCTGTAAAATGTCTACCGTATGTGGAATAGAAAAGTTTGAAGATCTTCTAGTAACAGAAGATCCACCTTCTTTTCATAGAAGGACTATATAAGGACCACTTTTTTTTGAAGACCCGCGCTTTTTTTCCTGTTAAAAGTTTTCGCAATTAGAAGACCCTCTAATATTTCTGTATTTTCAGAATAGTCTCCTGGCCATAGAACACCCTTTTGGAGGTTTCCTTTAAATGGATGACCCTGAAAAGTTCTATCCTACATGGATACATTAGAACGATATTCTATCCATAGATGATTCTGAAGGCGATTTAATGCCTAAAAGATCTGTAAAACTCTCTTCCTCTTGTGAAAAATTGTCTTTAGAAGTACGGCATTGGAATTCTGCTCATAGTATAAGTCAGATGATGCACGCAGAGTAATGATCTGCACCGCCTGTAGGAAAAATCCTACAATATTTGTTAAGAACTACTTTTGATAATATACCTTAACCTAACTTAGCATAAAGTATAAAAGAGAGATACCAAGTGCACACATGACCAAATGTACGATACCTACAGAAATCTTAGGCAGAGGTTTTAAACGCGCAAAGTTATCTCACCTGTGGCAAGAAAACACGTTACACTTGCTTAAATCCCGTAATCTAACTCCAACATACCACAAACATCTATGGAAATTACCCATCTAAAATTATTTTAAAGACATCCTACAATACGAAAGCCTGCTTACCTCCTCTACTTAACTACAATAATCTTATAAAAACATTTCACTTATCCGTGAACAGAGGGCTTTCGAAAGATCTTCTAGTGTTTCATACACAGCTATGGGCACTACAAGTATCTTCCTATTGGCGAATTTCACAAAACTCTTAATTTAAATAATTCATTTAGTGTAAAACGACTTACCATGCCATGACAGAGTGACACCGCCACCGCTGATTGATCATCACCTTCCACATGACCTTTATAATAGCAGCCCAGATAATGACCCTCCTCAAGATCCATTTCTTCGCTGCGATTATTTAAAATGTTAATGACCTGTGCGACGAACCAAAAACGAAAAAAAGACAAGAATAAGAAAATTAAAGACACAGTAATTAATAAAAAAATATTTGTTGAATTAATTAAATTCATCAATGAAATGTCCATTCAGTTTTTTTTCTCTTTCGGTGGCCAGTTCATTCATCATTCGAAGTGGTGTCAAGTTTCATTTTTTTTTTAATTCAAAATTATAGACATTTTGTTCTTTGTGCGGGAATGTGTGTTTTATGCAAATGCGAAACGCTTCTGCCATCAGTCATGAGATTTCTTCTCTATTTGTCTTGCAAAATTTAACATTTTTATTAATAACTTGGACATTAAGTACCGAATAGAAATTAACTGGTCCATTTATCTTTTGAAAACATATTTTGGTGATAGATTGAAATGTTGACTTATATAGATGGAGTCTATTTTTGGTGCATGTAGATTTTCTTAAAGTAACAATTTATATTTGAGAAAATATGACAATTTTGGACAATTTGTTTTGAACATTTAATTCTATGATTATTTTTTGAAATATAAAAAAAAACATAACTTACCCTAAACGTTTCTGGCGGTATAAATGAGGTATCTTGATGTAATACCAAATGCAAACGTTTGCCAAATGCACTGAATATATATTCCGGATGAGGATCCCAGATTTGACTAGATTTACTACGAAATGTTCCCGTACCACTAAATGCGGAAAAATAATCTGAAATTATAGGAAAAGAAAACAATTTCAAAAATGTGGCGAAAATGTTGAAAAATTATAGGTAGAGATCATTTAAAGCTATTGAAATGACATATCAAAAAAATAACATAAAAAACACTAACATAACATCCCAACTATTATAGTATAGCTTAAAATTAGAATATAAGTAGTGGTGGTAAACTTCTTTATTCAAAAAATTAAAGTTCAATTTATCTGGTACATAATACAGGTTGGTCTGAAAATACCGAAGTGGTATGAATTCCTTATAACTTTTTAAAGTTTTTTTTTCAGTATTTTGTAAAAAAACTTGGACAATTTATAATGGATTAATACTCAACCGAACAACGTGCCCAAATGGTTGAAACTTATTCTTCAAATCAACGGTCCAATTATTTAACTCAGCGTGCATACCATCGTCTGTTGCTACAACAAAGAACAGTAAAGAACCTTCCTGGTCCTTGTAGACTTCGAACCGTTTACACGCTTGGCAATATTCAGGTGGTAGATGAAAGTATTCGCGAGGTTCCAGAAACATCAACCAAAAGACGTTCGACACAACTTGGGCTCTCAAGAGGGCGCTGCAGCATACCAAAAAAGTGTCCATACATAATTTAACTTGTCCACGAATTGAAGCCGACAGATTACCAGCAACGACTTGACTATGCAATTTATTTCATGTGACTTATTATCAGTGACGAAGCCCATTTCCAAATAAATGTGTTCGTTTACAAGCAAAACTGTGGGCTACGGAAAGCCCAAGAGTACTTCTTCAACGACAATTACACCCAGTTAAGTGATTAAGTGTTTGGTACGGTGTTTCTTCAGAAAGGATCGTTTTTTTTTTTTTTTTTTGAAAATGAACGAGGTGTCGCCATTCCCATCACTGGTGAAAGATATCGGACCATGTTTGTAAATTTTGTAAGGAAAACCATACGCAAATATGGTTCCAAGAGGATGAGGCCACAGCGCACACTGAGAAAGCTGAAAGAATAATTTCGCGTAGAAGAAATTTTAATGAGCCTCCGCGTTCCCCGAATTAACCGATCCAGACTATTTTCTTTGCGGTTATTTAAAAGAAAACATTTTTGATAGCCCAGGCTACGGAGGCATTAAGAACCAATATTCGTGACGAAATTAACAACATAATACCGGCAGTTTTGCGGAAGGTCATGGAAAATGTGCTGAAAATGATATGACAAAAATTAGTAAAAGCAATAAGTTATTTTGAAATCGCTGGACAGAATGCGGCATCTACCGAAGTATAACAGCAATCAAGCAAATGCATATAACATAATAAGATGATGCTTTGATTCGGTAGATGGAGTTGGTAGTACGAAAATAAGTAATGTCGCCGTGTCATGACAATATTATTTTGTAATCAAACAGATCTGTTGTTTTTATAGGGTTTTCACTGATTTTTATCGATTCAATGTACAAAGAAATGCTCTGGAATAGATTTGCGGGTCTATACCTATCATTTCTGCTGCTTTTCTTTGCGAGTTTTGCCAATTTTGTCGTTTACAGAATAACATATTTCGGTAATGTTTCTAATGCATTTATGTCAGGTCGTCGATCATCTATTGCCTGATTGAAACATTAAACGGCAAGACGCATTCTGCCCAAACTTTATAGTTTTATGTATTTGAATCAAGTGTTCCATCTTATATTTAATGCCTTTTCATTTCCCTTATACCACTAGTACAATCTGACGAAATATAACAATAATAAAATATAATATCTTCCATCTTATAAAATTTCAGGTCTTAGACCAAAATGCCGTGCCTGTTATTTTCGACACAAACCAGCTGCAGTAGTACTGCCACCTGTTTTCAACACATAAAACTAAAGTTGTTTCCAAAACCCCCATAATACAACTATATTTGATATGAAGCTACTTTATTCTAGGAAATGCAGCCCTTTCAGAGAGAATCGAGAAATTCGCTTTTTCTAGATTTAGTATTAAAAAAGTATATAAGGCCTAGTTGGAGACCCTAGGCACTTTTCAATCATTGGAGAGGGTGATCCACGATTCGTACATGAGATGTTTGTTAAATATTTTACATATTTTAATGAATTACAATTTATTTTTTGTTAATTTTCTAAATACCTTAAATTCAAGAAATGTTAGTAGTACTTACCATTATTATTGCTATTATCTCTATTGCGTTTCGATTCATATAACAAATCTTCGGCATTCAATGTAAAATTGTGAAATTTTATTGGCGTCACAAAATCACTGGTATATTCATCTGGTATACTATGGCTAATATCTTCGATGTCATTCTCTATATCATTTGATAAATCTGAAATGAAAGAAAGGCACAGAGAAGAAAACGATTTAGTTACAAATTTTTAATTCAAAATATTTTAAATTAAAATCTGTCTATTAATTGATGTTGGTTAGCAAATAATCCTAGTGAAAAAATGATTTAAAATAAAGTTTTGTACATAGTTTTGAGTGCGAGTGAGGCTCTGGGAAAATCGAACATCTAAAAATAAATATTTCAAAATTATCAGTTTCCCAGCGGCCATATAATATGACACGTTTACAATTCAGTGATCTTGGACACTGTCTTATGCAGTAATGCGTAAGATAATAAAGGACACAACCCACACAAACACAGATATCGATTCGCCAGTAGGTAGCCAAGACCACTTAAATAAAGGGAAAAAAAGAATGCAATGTTCGCTTTTAAATCTAATGATAGATTAGAACAATTGTATGGCTGCGATTGGGTTAAGTTAGATTAGTTTTAGTAGTACTTATGGAAAATATTCTTATATTAAAATCAGAATTGAATCTACACCCGAACGAAGCGGTAGTGTTCGTTTTCTCAATTTTACATTTGGTCCTTCGAGCTGGATAGAAAGTCGAATCTGCATCCATTTTATAATCACTTTTATATTTGGTCCTTCGAGCCGGATAGAGAATTGAATCTACTCGCGAACCTTACGACTGTGTATTCTTTTTTCACTTTACATTAGGTCTTTCGAGCCAGATAGTGAATTGAATCCACACCAGAACTATACGGCTTTTCTCATTGTACAACTTGGATTGGGTGTTCTTCTTTAGTACTGTCACACGAAAATTGGCCTTAAAAGCCTACTTTTGTTCTATCGATATTAAAAATCGAGTTTTCAGGAGCACGGAGAAGTATATCAACAAGGGTGGGTATTTTGAAGATCTATTGGCATACAGGCATGTACTGGACTCGAAGTACTGCTAGTTCTTAATTTAAAATTTTTCAAAAATTCAATTGTACTTACCATCGCCGATACCCCACGATTCTTCGTCACCTTCAAATGTCTGATTACTATAGGAGGTAATATCGGTTATATCGTATAGTCTATCGATTGTATCGATAATTGTGTCACCACCACCGCCACCTCCATCATCATCAGTTACTGTATCTATTATCGTCTTCGTTGTTGTAGTTGTTGTCGTCGTCGTCGTATGGGTACTTAATGTCGGTGTTGTCGTCGTCGTCGTTGTTCTTTTCCCTTCACTCCGTGAGGGATTTGTTAGTGCTATGCTAGTGGTTGTGGTTGACCAATTACTAACAGCATTTATGTGTGGAGGTCTGGTGGTGATGGTCTCCTTGACCGGCAGTGAAAAAAATATAATCAAACCAAGGAGTACAAATAGGCAGGTGGTGAGTATGAGAAATGCGTTGTGTTTCCAGTGGGTCGACATGTTGCTGCACTTATTGCGGTAGAACCACCACTCACAGGTTTTCTTAATGACCAACTGAAATTAGATGGAAAGAGAGAGAGAGAGTAGAGAAAATTAAATTAGAATATTGTTGCTCGATAAGTAATAGAATTATGATTTAATATTATTCTATATTCGAAATATCGGATTGTTTTGAAACTTGCATGACTGAGGTATTGAGAGCATTGGTACGTGGTAGCGGCCATTATATCATTAAGGTATGTAGAACGTTATTACCCTTTTGCTGTGCTCCCCTAGCATGATTAGTGAAAAAGCCAGGAGTGGAATTTCTCCACAATCTTTTGTGTATGTGAGTGTAAACCCTCGACTCGATGAGAATCCCTTAAAATGGGGATTTTATTATGCTACGATTTTTTTTACTAATGTTCCGTGTAAAAAGTTATAAATTTAATATTTTTTCAAGTTTTACTATTTTTTTAATGCAGGAACTGTTTTTATGTAATAAATGGTATGAGTAGTGTATAAATGCAGGTTCTGGCAGCATTCTATTGTTTGACGGAGGTGATTGTATTTGCTATTTTAATTATTGCGTTTTTCCTCCGTGGATGGGGTCTTCGCTTCTCAGTGATAAAAATGGTTTGTGATAGTCTTTGCTATTTTAATGATCGCCTTTTCCCAAAAGATGGCGTCTTGCCTTTCCAATATCTGTTCTGTTTTTTCTTAGCGTTTTTGTAACGATATTTAAAATCTTTTTTAAATTTAGTAAAGCACAAATTTCTTATCGCTTTTTAAAATCACCCGCGCATGATCAGTTTAAAAATTGACAAACAAACCACCACTCTACGTCACCCCAACTAAAGAACTAAAAGGTAAGCAAAATAATTGTAAAAAAATATTATTCTGGTATAACAACACATCTTCTTACTTCTTAACATATTCTCTTCCCATCCTCATTGCCTTCATTTCGAATTCTCATCACTCTTAAGTAATTATAATTTATAGATTATAACAGAAACAAATAACAAGTGTGTACTCAAGGGCCGCCGCGACTGACTGCCGCGACACCTAACACTTTGGCTGCCCGATCCCCAGTGGAACGTGAGAAAAAACAAACAACTACAACGCTCAACATCGAATTAAATGCGGAACATGGACATGGGCCAAGTGATGTGTCTCTTTAACACCAAAACGAAATGAAGTGCGTGTCAACGCATGTAAAATCATTCGGTCACTCAAACGGACGCTCACTACTCACCCAGTATTCTAATAAAATGACAGCTCAAGTTGCTATGCTTGCTCGCCTAATGGTAAACTATATGCCTTTAAGTAGATGTCGAACAATAGAAGTAATCACCGATTAGAGTTGGAAAAATGTAAACACACTTTTTAGGGTTGTTTACAATTAATTTGCCCATTTTTAAGTTGTTACGAGATGTCAATAATGTTCGTATATGGGTGACTCCATAAGGCAATAATGGGAGGAAGAAATAAAGAATATGTTATAGGAAGTAAAGTGTTCGTCTTCCTTGTTATTGTTATTTACTTTTTTGAAAGTGTTAACATTTATGTTATTTTGTCCAAAAAAATGGAAAAATGTTTTGAATCTTCTCGATTCTGCTTTGACATGTTATACCAATTTTTAAACTCTATGCTTCCCTAATCGTAACACTTTTTTTGGGATTTGAAAACGTTTACCTTTACTCAATTGTTTTGAATTATCGAAAAAATTAAATTTAGATTTAGCAATCAACTAACTAAGTAAAATAATATGTCTAAATGGCAAACTGTGATAAGTAGACACTCTAATTTTTACACTTAATACTCATTATTGAAATTAAGGAAATAACGAAGAGTGCAAATGAAATGCAGGTTTTATTAAGGTAAAAAAATCATTTGTACACTGTTCATGTGAGATTGAACTTTCTCATAAAATACTTATTTATATTATTTTTCCGTCAACTAAGATATAGTTCAATTCAGTGCAGAATTATAAAAAAAATCCAGAAAATTATAAGGGAGGAGTCTACATAAACTAGTTAAAAAAAAGTCCGAAAGGACTAAACGTTTTATACCCTCCACCATAGTATGAAGGGTATATTACGTTTGTTTGTAACACCTCGAAATATAAATTGTAGACTCCACAAAGTATATACATTCTTGATTCGCATGAAATTCTATGACGATTTAGCGACGTTCACCCGTCTGTAAAATCACTCTAGCTTCCGAACAAAATGATGTAGGTTAACAACATTTTAATGAGATGTGTTTAAGATCAGCAGCACCTTAGAAATGGGTTATGTAGGTCCATGTTTTGGCATAGAACCCTTAAAACTGTACGGATAGATTTAATTCTTTTTTTACCCTTAGCCATATGGCTAGAGAGAGTATATATAATTTGATACGTCCAAAACGTGCCTTATCGAAATAATGATTTAAGACTTTAGGTCTATTTGGACCAAATCCGTTTCAGGACATTTGGAGTCGATCTAGCGATGTCTATCTGGCTGGCTTGTGCTCACGATAACTCTCAAAGGGAGTATCTGATTTGATCCAAACTTGGTACATCGTAATATTTTTTTAAACTTACATCGAGTTCGGAGATTGACAATATCATTCTACTCCTTCTAGTACCTCCCACACAAAAGGCCGAAATTTTCAAAAAAGTAATATATAACTGCACAGAAAGAGAAAGGATAATCCAATGTTGCTCCAACTTTGTAAATCCTAATATTTGCGCCAGTTCTAGGTCTTGTGCAAAAGTGGATAATATCGGCCCACTCCTTTAAGTGCCTCTCCCACAAAGGCTCAAAATTATAAATAATTATAACTCTTATAAAATATCATGCAAGAGTCCGATTGTCTTCGAATTTCACACATCCTAATATTTTTATGAAGCCAAGATCTGGTATTGATCGGTTCACTCCTTCTGGTACCGTTAAACTTATAAAACGCGAAAATAACATCCGATTCCATGTAGACTTGGTACATCTGAATATTTCTATCAACACAGGAGCTGTTATAAAGCCGGTAGAGATCGGACCATTCCTTCCGGTACCTCTCCCACAAAGGGTCAAAGTTTTAAATAACCAAAACGTGCATAAAATCTGAAATAAGCATGAGGTTCTCTTTATATTTCACATACACAAACATTTTTGCTAACACAAAATCTGTTGTGAAGATGGAATATATTAGGCCACTCCTTCTGGTACCACCCCCACAAAGAGTCAAAATTGATTATCCTTGAAGCTCATAAAACGCGAAATTAACATCCGATTCTATTCAGACTTGATACATCTCCATATTCCTATCACCAAATAGAGTTCAAGATTTTGATAAATAAAACGCCCAAAGAAATTTCGCTTACCTAAATTTCACACATACAAACATTTTTGCTGACAGTTGTGAAGACGATATATATCTGCGGACCACTTCTGATACCTCACCTACAAAGGGTCACAATTTTCAAAACTTACAAAACAAGTCAGCAATTCTTTACAATTTGCTTTATGCAAACACTTTTCTCAACCAGAAATCTGAGAACAGTGGAAAATTATGATTTCGAATAGGAGGGACCAAAGAATTATATAAAACTAAAATTCTTTTGGAAAATCTTCTAAATCTTACAACCGCACTTATAAACATTTTTATCTTTCTCCACTTGTAAAACTTTCGTATTGCATGAACGAAGTGGCATAACCCTGAGCTTACGATCTCGTCACTTGGGTAAAAAAAGTTTTTTACCATAGGAGTTATTTAAAAAAACTCTTGGGGAGAATATCCCAGGCAAAAAGCAAAGGAACTGATGAGGATTGGTGGCTCTTTCCGAAACCTAGTTATTCCCTGCCTTACCCCCTGGTAGACATTACCATCGTTCTCCACTAATAAACACGTTGTTTTTATAGAAACAACAATAAAGGGATTAAGCCTGACCATTTTGCAGCAACAAAATACTATGGTATCCCGAACAAACAAGCCAACACTGTTCTGATGAAGAATATATATATGTTTTGGAGTCTCCGCCGAAGATTTCGAGGTATTACAAACGGCATGGCAATATACCACCATTGTATGGTAGAGGTTATACAAATGCTAAACTTCGCACATTTCAATATTTCTGTCAATATAAGTTCTATTGGCAAATTGGAATTTATGGCTAACTTCATTTGGTACCACCTCTACTACAGTTAAAACATTGCCAAAAAGAGCTAATTTAGGTCAACCCATATGTATCTTTTGGCAATCCGATTGATATTTTCCAAATTTTTATTTTGCCATTTCTTATTCGCTAAATAAAAAATGTATTTTTTAGGTATAGTTCCCGTATGGATGCTTACTTCTACTGAAGTACTTCCTACATTCCAATAAGGTTCTCATGGTGTTTTTCTGAAACAACACAAATGGTATTACAATACCATTGTTGATGACTGACAATATTCCATGGTAAGTCCATAAATGTGTCAAATCCATGCTGCGTTCCCACTATTTAAACAATAACAACAGGCAACAACTAAATTGAAATGCATCGACTTCGTAATCACGGTGTTAATAGAATGCCCTATTCGAAAAATACCCCCAAATCGCTTCAACACTTTATAATTATAAAATGTCGGCAATGCTATTTGTTATTCTGAAATTTTTATTATATTGTTAATTTGTTTGTTTATATGCCAATGTTGGCCCTTTTTTGTTCGGTGGCTCTTTTGTTGTTGCTACCATTGTTATTGTTTCGGTTTCATTTTCAAAAAAAAATTAACTGGATGCCAACACATTGCCGTTGGCACGCTGTAAACTTGTAAATGAGTTTTTAATTATTTAACTTAAGACCGCAATTATTATTTGATTTGTTATAATAAAAATCGTGTTTTCTTGTTTTCCGCCGCAGCTGCTGCCGCTGCTGTTGTTCTTCTTCTTTTATAATGGCTGCTGTTTCAGTTTCATGGCACGACGTGAGTTCATTTAATTGGTTGTCAAAGACACATTAAAAACAAAACACAACAGAAACATTTGGTTATTAAATATGAATACTAGTTTAGTCGGGCCGCAAGACGGGGCTTTTTCCATTCTTTCTTTCTGTC